TTTGACAAATACTTGCTTCTCAAATGGGCTTTGAAAAGTCTTTAGTCCGATTATTTTAAACGGCACTCCCGAACACGACGAAAATGGAAATTTTATGCGCACTTTTGTACGTTTAATTGTTAAGGAGATTACTTCTTGGTACGCGATCGATGTATTACAAGTGTTCGTTATTATATTATCCGACGATTCGTGTACTATCTCGCGCTTTTCATCTGAAAGCGATAAATGTTTCACTTAAACTGACGAAAATTTTCAAGCACTACGCGAAAGAGATTCATTCCAGTTCGATTATTGAAAAAAAGGCACTGTCACTCGTGGATGTAAGTATCGGAACTAATAATTTCTCTATGTAATTCACTTATCGCTTTCTCTTCAAAGCACGCGTGATATTCGTCTCGACGCACCGTAGAGATCAACGAATATGATCACCACAATTAGTTCTCACACACTGAAAAGAAAAATTTCGCTACCATAGCTAATCATGGTTTGCTTGAAATATTTTGCTGCCATAACTATAAATTTCTAAACCACAGTAAACGGTTTGCTATCGCATCTAATACAATAGGCACAGTAGCAAAATATTTAGCTATCACAACTAAATATTAGCTGTCCATATTTTACAACTGAAATTTAGTTGCCACAAGCAGTTATTAGCTACGGCAACTACATTTTTCTTTCCGTGCACGAGATCGCGTTACGAAAAGCGACGCGAAGACACGCGGAACGGAACATCCGACTCGGTCGACTGATACGCGCCGAATGATGCGACACAATAGAGACCGTTTTCGACCGAGGTCATGGTCACGAGGTGATGACGTTCACGGCGCTATGTAATTTTTTGTTTACTTGCGCTCGGCGACCGAGCTGTTTACACCGCAACGATCATTTCTTGGAATCAAAGCTCGGGCTGTGACGCTACGTGTTTTTTGGAATCCGCGCTCGGTCGTGTTGTATTTTCTTTCTCGATACGCGTACGCGCACAAGTGCGGAGTGAAATCGCGATCGTTTCTCTGCGAAAAATCAGTGAACGATATCATCGCGCGATCGCGATCTGTACGTCGAAGAAATCAAAGCCGAGATCAGAGTGCGAGCTAACTTGAAATCACTTGCTCAGGCCGATAATTACGGACGATAATTACTTCCTTAAACGATGCTCGCACCCTCAGAAAGGACTTCTGTTACCGAGACAAAAAACTTTTCTTTTATTAACGGAATCGTACAAATGCTGGTCAGAACTTTGAGTCGAATCTCATCGCGACACGTTTTGCGAATACTATACGGTACTCCCGAACGCGATGGGTACCTTTGGTTGTCCCGTCTTTAGGGTCTGTACTCTCTAAAAATTGATCAGTGCATCATTACTGTAAATCAGTGAATATTCATTGTTTTCAGTAATAAACCACTAAGTCATTTTTAGAGAGTAACCCTTCAGGATACTTAAGCCCCTCCACCACGACAAGGTAGTACCCGAGGAGGGGATTATCAACAAGAAACTGTGCAATTACATATGTGTATATATAGAAAAATGAATATTGAATGAACATAAATTAAAGTTGTGCTATTTAATGCACGACGTGAGAGAGATTCATCCAATCGAAAGATTAATTCACATTCTCGATCTTGGGGCAAAATCAATTTATCAATAATGCCTCATAAACTAATAATTCGAGATGAGCCATTCTTATCTCGTTAGAAGCGCTGAAATCTTAGCTTTCCACCGAGACCAAGATCATCTTCCTACGATTTTTCTGTGCGAAGATATTCACGATTATATCGACTCGCGATCTCGATCACGGAAGAAAATCAATTTTATTTTCGAAAATATTAAATCATATCTCATAAACTAATGACCCGAGATAAGCCATTCTTATCTCGTTAGAAGCGCTGAAATCTTAGCTTTCCAACGAGACCAGGATCATCTTCCTACGATTTTTCTGTGCGAAGTTATTTACGATTATATCGACTCGCGATCTTAATCCTCATTCAGTAGCAGCAGACGGCGCGTATATGCGGTGTATCGTGCGGCGTCTCGCGCGCCGGTGTTTATTACCGAACCCCTGTGCTTCGTATGTTTTGATGCCAGTTTTTTGGGGACGTAGTACGCTCGTGTAATACTTGCGTAATACTCGCGCGGCCTTCTCAAATGAATGGGTGCGCGCGCGCCCGATTTTTAAAACGCTATAACTCGGCGAAAAATCGACGTAGCGACACGAACCAAAAACCAATCTTCTTCGTTTTGCATCCCGCAGCTGTCTATGTTGAGTATGTATGCTCTTATCATGAAACTGACGTACGACAATGAAATAAAAAGTAAAATACTGAAATATAAATTATACAAATAATTGCTAAAAATTTTGCTAACAATACAGTTGTGTTAGACCGTATAGGGTAAATGTCCCAATTACTGCCGCTTTATGCATATAGTGATAGTTTATATGTTAATTTTATTATGTTTTAAGTATATAACAACCATTCTGTTTTATCGTTATGCAAGTAAATACTTGAATATACACAAAATAAAAGCAATAAGCTTAAAAGTGATTTAGAATTTAAATATATTGAAAGAATAAAAAATATAGGGTATTGAACCTATTACTGTCAGTCAGTGTTCTAAATACTGTCCCTACAATTACTGCCACACGTACCTAATATTGCCTCCCTATTTATTACCCGTGTACCTAATACTGCCCCTCATTTACTGCCATTTCTACCAAACTCATCTTACGAGTACCTAACTCCTAATTTATGTTAATTTTTGTTGTAAAAAATACGATTGTTATATTTTATGAATAATAACTTATCAAATACTTTATATAGTTGTGTTTATGTTTATATGACGGTTTTAGTTAAACATTAAAATATTTTTAATATATAACGTTTTTATACTTTTTATTCTAATACTACAATTAAAAAAGCGGCAGTAATTGGGACACTGGCAGTAATTGGGACATTTACCCTAGCAAGTATATTAAAATTTGATTTTTACCATTAATTGTCAAATTGTCATATTTTATTGATATGCTTTATTTCTACTAGCATTTTGGTATAAATGTATCAGATTTTGTATCAAACTTGTACTCTTTTTGTCAATAAAATTTGTAGCACACACTGTTCTAGATATTCACTAGAAAATTATTTAAACATTCTTTTGTACATACAAGATTGCTCCGTTTATATCGGACAATCAATACGCTTGCACTCTGATCAAATTAAACTTTGCATTGTTCTAATTATACATAAACTAATACCTCTCGTTTTTATTAGAATGAAATTTTTATTCAATAAAAACAAACCAACCTCTACAAGATTAAAACGCCGGTGTGGCCGCTCTCAGGTTTTGTCTCTGGTAAACAGGTAATATTAATGTTAGGGATCAGCCGCTCTGTTATCTCTACTAAGGCTGCGGTCAAGCTGCCGCTACAAACGCTTCGAAGCGTTTCTCTTCTCCTTTTAACTTTATTGAAAGAAAGGAAAAGAAGAACACTTCGAAGCATTTGTAGCGGCAGTTTGACCGCAGCCTAAATCACGCATGTGAAAGTAATCAATTACTATTCTCGTCCGTCGGTAACTTTCCTGTCCTGCCATCTGTCTGTTCATTCGAGAACGCTGGAGCTAAACGTGATCACGTGAGTTGAGAGTCTCCTTCTCGCACTGTTCACAACTGTTCTCGCAACACATCGCAACATGCGTATAGAAACGTGTTATTTCTGCTCGTCCCGGATATATCCGGGACACGGAATTCAATTTGTGAGGAATGATTGTAAGGTAAGGGCTGTACGATTAATCTAATATTAAATAACCCGATAAACTCGCGTAGAATAAAGAAGTGGATCACATGGCATTAATATTGAGATGAGGTTATGTATCCCACATAAACATCGTAGTAAAGACAGATTACAAAAGTTCCTCTCTCGCAATTGACTTCGCAGATCTTGTGTATCTCGAAGCATGAAAAGTAAACCGTTTACAAGAAGAAATTATCGTTCTCAGTTCTTCCCAATCGCAGCTATAGCGATTCGCGATTGTCTCTGCTCGTCGAAACGTCGTTGCAGTTAATATGAATGATATTACAGATATTCAAGTTCTGCCGCTCGAAGTGTCACGCTGCATTCAAGAAGAAGAAGAATCCGAGGAAAGTCAAATGGACCAAAGCCTACAGAAAGACCGTCGGCAAAGAACTGGGGGTGGATCCGTCGTTCGAGTTCGAAAAGAGGAGGAACGCGCCCGTCAAATATAACAGAGAATTATGGAGCAAGACCGTGGAGGCGATGAAGAAGGTGGAGTCTATTAGGCAGAGGCGACAGAATCTGCACATTATGCAGCGATTGCGTAAGGGAAGGGAACTCGAGAAGGAGAGAGATGTCAAGGAGGTGCAGCGTGACTTCTCTCTCATCCGCTCGCCAGCTGCCGGCCTCAAAGAGAAACGAAAACAGGAAGAGATGGCCGAGGAGCAGGAACAGATGCACGTGGATGAAGATTCCTGCGATGAAGTTGAAGCATTGGAAGTGAATTAATACGATACGCAAACTTAAGCTCGTCTCATACGTTCAATTTTTATCATCTCAAAAAATTATATAAATTAAAGAAAAACGATAGCTTCAAAACAATTCACATTTTACATCGTCTACGTGAAATATATACAAATTGTGAATTGGAATATAATGTAAAAGTTAACATCTTAATTGTTCGGATTTTTTAATCTCGGGAAGCGTCTCTAAATCCCGTTTATATTAAATGTTTCGTTTCTTCAGAAAATGTCAGCTAAAGAAACGTCCGATGATGATGAATTGTAAGATAATCTTTGAAACTGGATGGTGTAAATTGGACTTTACAAGGAGAGATGGAAGGTACAGGAGATGGAGGGTTAGCACGCGCTAAATTAGCTTACGCTTGCAGAATCTTACCACACACCTCCGTGCGTTTCTTGCGAATCTCCCACGCACGACCTTGCTGAATTTTCGACCCTTGTGGATTCTTTTTAATAAATCAAGCCAAAAGGGGTTGGAAAATGTAGGGAGTCGAAACAAACCGATAATTATAATTAAACCGATAATTAAATCGTTTTATACTCCTTCGTATCTAATCATTTTACTTATTCTACAAACTGTTTCCACTTGGGTTTCAGTTTCACAGACATCGGTAAACTGCTAACCGAGGGTTAATTAGTTCTTTGTCTCTTCTTAAATAATAAGATAAAAAAAGATAGGGAATCTACTGTGAACTCTAACAATTAGCCGACGTTTGTGAAACTGGCCCTTAATAAATTATGGGTTGCAATGTAAGTTACAATAATTCTATATAGACATAGAAATCACTAGTCTGTATGGTTATTTAGTTTTTATTTCTGTAACGAGCGCGTGCACTCGCGAGAGCGCAGGTTATCACTGCGAGAACTGTAAAACAATAAATATTAAAAAGTTATTTTGCCTGCTTTATATTCAGTCTGTTTTTTTAATGTCACAAAAGTGTATCTTTAATGATATTTATTTTCTAATTTTCTTCTTCATCTGCGAATTCGTGTTTCTTCATCTGAAAACTCTTTAAGAAATTTCTACAGATGGAGCTACTAGGATTAATCGTGAGCAGATAGAAATGTATTCTCTTTAACACGCGGTTGCATGGTCTACTAATTCCGTCCGTTCATTACAGCCGTTTCACGGCCGTCCATGCATTTTGCAAAAGACATGACATTAGACATTGTATAATATTCTCGTCATGGAGCACACTGTAACAAGAGTAAATAATGTTCTCCCATTATATCACCATCGTACAATGGGCGCGCATTAAAGCTGCGGTATCCGCGTCCCAAGGTTTCGACATCAATCGCCTGGCATTGTGCACGAGCACCGTTTCTCTTTCCACGTTTTGCTACGTGTTAAATGCGTAATTATGGCACCGATAATACCCGTCTGATACCGCGTACTGTCTGAGTAGCTTGGACAATACGCGGGATTTATTGCACGTGATATAGACACCTTTTGTCGTAAATGAAAGAGAAAGAAAATGGAATTTAATCGTATAAAAGAATCATAGGACGAGTTACATACAACTCGGAAACATCAGAGATGGCTTATCAAGCAATACCAATATTGTTTCGCTAACGGATTGAATTATTAATTTGCTTAACATATAAAAAACGAGTTATGTAATTAGAAATAAGCTTTGAGCACTTTTGCCAATTGAATTAACTATCAGTTAAATTAAATTTAATTGGAGTTTGATCGAAATCGCTGTAAAGGGTTGGGCCTTGGGACCAAGCTCTAGCATCGTGGACACAGACCTTAAGATGTCTTAAAATTTCAAAGATGTCTTATGTTACAAAGATTTTGCTATTTTTTTGCCATATATATTCTAATAAGTAGTGTCGGAGTAATATAAATTTAGATTATATGTAATCTAAAAAAATGTAAAAGATAATTTTCGATATACTTTTAAAAGATCTAAAGGCGTCTTTAAAATATACGCGCTTTAAATGCATATTAAAATCATCCCTTCTAATGTTGTAGTGAATTAAATGGGATCTTTAAGGGTTTCTTGCGAGAGAAAAAGGAGAGAGACGGGGAGTCTCGTGTTCAAAATTTCTCAGCGGCCACACCGCGGGCCGTGCATCGCTTCTTTTATGACAGGGACACGGGCTTTCATAGAACCCGCACGTCGCCGAGGTGCGACCGTGCCTCGATGACACTGTAAACACTCGCAAGGTGTTTCCAGCAATTACCAGGCAAACCACGGCGCGATGTTTGCCCGCGAGCGAAAAGCCTTGTAGGACGCCCAAAAGGGAGCACCGCGACGGTGCTCGGGACGGCACTCGTGTTACGCGTACAAAAAAATATTTTCACGGGCGTGAGCTTGCAGATTCCGAGGAGGAGGACGCGCCGCGACCGATCCTTTCGACGAAACGACCTTTTTGAGCCTCGCCGACGACGTCGGCACCAACTTGGAACTGAAATCGCCTGGTAACGCGACGCTGATCGCCTTCGGATCGATTGCTGACGACAAACGGCGATGTGTTTCTCTTCGTACGTCGAAAATATCTACTGTTGCGTCACAGTAGATGAAAATGTTGTGGGTTTGATGCGTAAACCAAATTAATCGCACGAAGACCTCGCTTATTTATAAAAGGAATAACGTGAGATTAAATCGCGCGGTAAAATTAAATGTTTGAAGATCGATGCAACGCGACGATGAATAAAAGAACAATCTGCAATACGAAATACTTCTTACGGCGCGCGCTGCACGCGAGAATTAAATACGCCACGTGTGCACGATCTTCAAGTGCATCTTTCTCGAGTACCTCTCGAGGATCCTTCGAGGAACCGCGTGCGCGAGAATTTCGTACGGGATCCGAAATTCGCGAGCGAAACAAATGCTTTCGGCCACACGCGATGGCGCGCCGGTGTTTGCTGAGGAAACAGACAACAGGCAACCGGAATATACATGACGCGCGCGTTACGAATCGTAATACAATGATTCGTATGCGGCGAAATAACAAAAGAAAAAGCTGTAGGCGTATTGGATCCACTTCGATCGATCGATCAATAAATCCTTTTCGTACGTCTCGTAAAGCTACTCGTGCATCAAACAATAGTTTAGAACGATTTATATCGCGTAAAAGAAAGTTCTTGCCTTCGGGAAGAACTTGTACCCCGCTAGTTAATTAGCGAGATATTTACATCATTATTACATCTTCGTGTAAAACAATAAGTGTCAACCAGCGCACAAGCTTACTTTTATTTACGTAGAATTTCTTAGACTCTGGATTTTGTTCTAGATTTTGTAGAATTTTGTAGAATTATTTCCGGCAGGGTCGCGATAATTGATTTACGATTAATCGCGACCGACAGATATACCTACGTCCATTTGGCAATTCCCCTCTTTGTCGCCCACGCAACTCCGAACAAGGAAGCACGGGAGGAACGTCGAAAGCCGTTGACAAAACCGACATTATCCGGGTCCTGCCAACGTTTGTGTAATCATCGTCGCGTATCGTAGGAAGGTCCTTGTAATAACATCTACCGAGGTCATGAGAGCAGCATAAAAAAATAAGGCGACTCCGTGGAACGACTCGGGAAATAGTTTGTTCGGATTCCCGAGTCTCCGGCATTTAGTTGGACAATATTATTTTATGGCGACCCCAACCGTCCTGGAAGTTCCCTTGGATCTCACCGATCCGTGGTTCGATCGTAATTGTACTCACGTATGTACGGCGAGGCTCGATTAATTAACACGCAGCGCGCATTTCCACAAGCTTAAGCACCGATAATCACGGCACGCCTTTTAAGCGGTATATTTGTACACACAACATTTTTCCTTAGCCGCCCGTTAAGTCTGGTGTGAATCGCGTGGTTGCTTTCCCAGCGAACTGCATTGTTACCAAATCGCCCGGAATCATTAATCTTCAACCGTATGTTTTCTCAACGCGGGTGTAGCTTCATTTTCTCGAGCTCGGTCGCGTGGAAAGCTATAACGGTTCGAGCTCGTAAACATCACGGCTAAAAGGCACTAAGTTCTGTCAGACGGCGAGGCACGTTTAATTAAATTTCGATGTCGGCCCTTATCACAATGGGATTCAAAATGGGATGAATCCACCGATAAAGACCTAACTCATGCCGCTTTCACCATTGCTTTGGAATTCTCTCTCTCTCTCTCTCTCTCTGTCTATTTATCTGCCTCTCTTTCTCTCCCTGTCCACGTACATTACACATGAATGATAAAAATATAACTGACACGTCGTTGAAGATACGGTCGTTAGATATGAGTTACTTTGAAATATTGTGCGTTTTAAGTTTAGTGCTCTTTTGAAATTGAATTCCTGCGTGACATTTGTAATCTTCGGCCCGCGCGATATGGATAGTCTGTCGTTTGGTGATATTATTTATTTTGTCACAGCTGTATTACGAAACACACGATTCAACTTCGTTTACATTAAGCTCCGGTCTAAAGAGTCGCGGTTCTCCTCGAGCGCCAAAGCACAAGAGATTCACAGAAAGTCCCCGATTAGCTCGATCTCGGCGATACGGCCATGATTTGCGACTACGCAGTGTCATAGTCGCTTGTCATAGCGCCGACTGTTATCTACGCCAAGCGTCTCTCGCTTCGTCCGTTTCTCTTAATTTGGACCCGCGCGGTGGACAGACAGACTTCGAGACCGCTCATCTACTTCGAGACCGCTCATCTACTTCGGGATCACTGGGTCTGATCGGGCCAGATAAAGGCAGCGCGATCACCTGACCACTCACGGCCGATAAAGGGGAAACGTCGTTTCCGAAAGCATACCTATTCCTTTCCACGGGAGAGAATGCGACCTACCGGACAGATGAATGTTTGACATTCCTGTCGCAGCCTCCGTTGATGAAGCTCCTGGTTATCAGACGACAGGCTCGGATTAAAGCGTAGGTCCGAATAATTAGCTTTGTAACGTAATTCGGTTAAAATAGCAGCGAAAGAAGAAAATTATTTTACGCGTTACAGTAAATGCGCTTATAACTCTTAGGCCCGGTTTCACCAGCGTCGCTTAACTTTAGGCTCAGCTCAATTCGTTCTTTGTCTCTTTTCAGCTGTTACTCTAGAAAGAGACAAACATGAATTCAACTAAGATTAAAGTAAGCGACGTTTGGTGAAACCCGGCCTTATTCTTGTATTCCGGTTGTTTCATTAATTTTTAATCTTATTTATATCAATTATCTTCAGCGTGTCGATTTTATTTTTCTCTGCCAATTGTTATTTTTTATGAATGGAATTTTTATATTTACGTTCAGTTTCCTTTGTCATTTTGTCACGGAAGGGACTGTATTGTGGGGATATAAAGGGCGTATTCTAGCGCGCGTGTACGCGCTTTCGCCCGAGTTCACCGGTGCATCGTCCCTCAGCGCGGCGTCGCATTTGAGCGCTCTCGCCGTTTAAACGGATTAGATAGAATCTCCGGGGCGATTAAGTTTCCCCGAACAAGTCGGCATTTGGATTATCCGATCGGTGGATATGAAGCTGATGTCGAGGCGACGGATCCGCTTGTTTGCACACCGTCGTCTATTGTCCCAATCAACGCTGGTTAATTCATGTCAGATCCCGTTTGAAACAAGATTTGTGATCGGTCTGTATTAAACGCGATCGACCGACAAGGATATTCGAAAATATTGGTTTTAAACCAAGTGCCTCAGGTTCCAAGATCCTCGTGAAACAATATGAAAAATATGATCGGTTTTTCAATCAAATTTTATTGGTAACTGCATTTCATCGGATAAATTCCATCGGATGTATCCATAATTTAATCGGAAAACGTAGTCGGAAAAATTCACCATCGGAAACGCTATTTAATAGGTTTATCCGATGAAAATTTTGCTCAATGCATAGATATAGCTGTCCCAAATATTACTATTTATTGGTGTTGTGCCAACCCTAAATAGACATGTGGTAACCATATCGGTCTTTCCGTG